TGACCACAGCTGGTCATCATGATCTCATAGGGAATGCTGCAGAGCAAAGAGGAACCCTCAAGCAGACCTGGATGTAGTCCCAGTCACAGGCTTCATGTGGGAGAACACAAATTCACTAATTTATACAAAAAAAAGGGCAAAGCTTGTGTTTCTGTTTCCCTTCCTCTAGAGCTGGGAATTTTCTCCTACCTCCTATTTTTATCTTCTTCATAGTAGGAAGGCAGAAGACATCAATACAGAGGCTTCATTGCATTATTCAGAAACTTTATGCCTCTTTTCCCTCAAGTTACTTAACAAACATCCTCCCTTCAGTCCTTAAGAGACAGACAACCCTGAACCATGTATTTGGTTCATGTACCTCTAAAAGGCAATAAAAAAGTGTCCCACTTTCAGCTAATCTACTTCAAAATTGCCACTCAACCTGTACTGATGTGCTTATTTGCAGTAACTAATTGACATAACTACATGGGGCCTAGAAAAATGTTCTTTAAAATACCCCCCTGGACAACAGGCTTTAGAATAAAAAGCAAGTAAAATATGCCACCTTCCATTTCCACAAGGCTGTTAATTAAAAAAAGTTAAACTGTAAAACATCATCATTAATAGGAAAGCCCCATGCCTTGTAGACAGAGTCCTGTTAAAATAAAATAAAAATAAATTAATAATCCAGTCAGTAAAGATAAGTGTTTTCAACCAACACTACCAAGTGCCCACCTAATTCATCATCTCTCTCTTCCCACACAAAAAGTCAGTGATCAAAAGGAGAGAAAAAAACCCTTGAATTCTTATCTGGTTTGAGATGAAAGAAAAAGTTGCTTGGTTTTCTTGTAGGGGGAAAATGTCATCTGTGTATCTACCATAGAAACAGCAGGCTACTGAAGTAGAAGTTTTCTTCTGTTGTCTGGGTAAGTCTTCCTTTACAATAATTTTATTTAGGAAATAATAATGGTTCATCACAGAGACACATAATGTGTGTTTTTGTACCGCTGGCAACAAACAGAACAAGGAGAGGACACCTAGTGGTGGTCTCTCATCATCAGGGCTGGTAGCATGGGAGCAACAGATGAAATCTTTAACGCAGGACCTGATTCGGCAAAGCTCTCACACTCTTAATTTCTGAGCACTTTAGTAAGTCTTAGCAATCCAGCAAGATTTTACTTATGCACTCTTCTGAAACTGCATTACTGTGAGTATCAGAAACAAACCAGCAAATTTGGAATATAGCATGTTGGTGTGATATGCTCAGGAGTGTGTTTCATTAAACATCAGGGCCTTATCAACAACGAGAGTTGACATTGATACTTAGGTAGGTTCATGAAACACAAAAAGGTCTGGGCAAATTGAAAAGCAGATTTCAGTAGAAGTTGAACCAAAATAAGACATGGCTGCAATTCACAATTTTTGCAGATTTTGCCATATGATTTTTTTGCAGAATATACCCTTTATTATATAACTTACAATAAGCATTGATTCTCTTTAAAAAGGGTTCTAGTTCTACATAATCAGGCATCCCAGAACAAAAAATACTTAGGGCACATTTTTGGAAGAATGATTTCTACTTGTAGATTTACTAGGTCTTAGTCTGTGTTTAGAATAGCTGTAAGCAAAGCTATTGAAGTCTGGGTTTTATGCAGCTTTTGGAAAATATTGTAATTTTAAAGAACTAGTAAACTAGTATCATAGGCAAAAGTAAAGCAAAGTGGCATATCATTTGGCATGGAACAATGTATCTATTTTAATTGTTTGTATCTTTTATTTTAATTGTTCACTGATATATGAGCATATTTAACTAAGAATAATCTACTAGTTGCATGTGTGCCTATGTAAAAAAAACATTAAAAAGTCAGAAGTTTAGGTAGTCTCATAAAACTTAAAGGAAATAAGAATTAGGTCCAGGACCTCCTGCTCAGTACTTTTAGGAATGTAAATTTTAAAAAAATCCAAAATAAACCCCCTGTCAGAAATTACTGCAAAATTATAATTTCTGTAATCACCAATTTAAATACAGATTTTTTTCTTGCATATAATTTATTTTAAATAAATATACAATCTATTTTCAATAGTCTAAAGGACTGTAATATTAGAATTTTTAGCTAAAAAGCAGTTTCAGGGAAGTGTGAATTTGCACATTCAGTATATTTATTTCCTGCCCACACATCTCCTGTCCCTTTCTTGAAGTGTTTCTTCCCATTTCCACTGAGCCATTCATTTGGGTAAGTAATTAACATCAGACTGATATGAATATATCAAACAGTTTTCATATATATTCCACCACAGGCTATAGCTGTTCCATAACACTTAATGAGGACAAAGCTTCTGCAATGCACACATTATTTACATCACTATTACTTTCGGTGGCTTCTGGCAGCTTGATCTTAATTTAAATGACTTAAATGATGTGGAAATAAATAAAGAAGAGGAACCATGTTTCACCAGTGTCATGTAAGAATCTCTTAAATTTTTGCTTATCTTAAGGTTCGGAATACCAACCACCTGAATTCCACATGTGTGATATGAAGAAAAGCTCTTCACATATGTGAAGAAAAGCTCAAACAATGTCAGCCTGACTTTTTTATTTGAGTATGTAGAAATACAGGGATAACTGCCTTATCATACAACTTGGGTTGTTCATACATCAGTTATCCATGAATAACAGTTATCCAAGTATTCTCTTGGCACATTATGAAGATTGAGTTTGCTGGCTGTCCTCTCAATATTTTTGGCATAATGCTTATTTTTCTGGAACCAAATACATACATTTCAGATTTATCTGCACCACATTTAAAACCAACGAGTCAGCTCATACACAAAAACTATTAAAGCCTTTTAAGCACACACAAACAGGCTCCAGTTCTGTGCCATAAAAATTAGTTAACAGTTGCTCCTTTTTGTCCACGTGGAAACACACACATATAGAGAACATTAAAACCAGAAGCTGTCTTGCTGACTACCCCATGGGGTGATCCAGTTATTGTTTCCCAGTAATTCAGCAAATGTCATCCCTACCAGTTGTTTTGTCTGTCTCTTTTAAAACATTAAGATATTGTAACACACATTTTCCAGGAAGGCATATATACGAAAATCCATTACTTTCTGCATTTCTGCTCCCTGTAAAATGCTAAACAAAAACAAAAACAAATAAACAAACAAAAAACCCTCCCTTTTTTCTTTCACACATTTCATTTTGGGGTTTATCAAAGCCTCATTCAGACTGATATATTTCTCTCTATTCTTACATGTGATTATTTTTTTCAAAATCAGACAACAAACTTTTTGCTGCTTTATTACAGGCTCAAAATTAGTCCCAAAAAAAGAAAAAAAAACAAAGAAAACAAACAAACAAAAAAAATCTCTGCCTTTAGATTCCCTTTTACCTTCCTGTGAACCTATTTCACAAATTTTACTAGTGGAATTAAAGCTGAAGTTGCGATCAAGCAGCCATTAGCTAAATGGACCAAACAGCAGCTACTGCTGATTTGGACCACATAGGCTGGTCACTTTTAGTCCCACTTAGTGGCCAATTCAACTATTTTTATTTAGATTACCTGATTTCTGATTGACAACTGACAGAAAGGGGGGGGGAAAGGAATTTATTTCTCTGCCTAGTATTCCTTTACAGAGGCTCAGGCCTTTACTCAGGCTGCCAGAAAATAATGTCATTGAATTCATTTCAGAAGGTTGTCTCTCTGTGAAGCACAGAGGAGACAAAAGCACAGCTTTATGGTAGAACTGCAAAATATGCTTAATCATTTGCCTTAGTTGAATTGAGTACAAAAACTACAGTGCTCTATTTCTGTACAAAAACATCTTTTCAGTGCTTTACAGAGAGGCAAAAAGAAGATGCTTTACCAAACAGAGTAATAAAAAATAATGACCTATTTCAGGGACTTTTTGAGAGACTAGTATAAATTTTTTAGACTTTTGATATTTAGCATCATCTGGCATCATGCCATTTTAAATTGTAATCTGACTTTATTTGAGATGGCTCTGCTTTTAGGTTCCTCTTAAACCAGAAAGTGCATATTATACTAGAGATAACCAGCAGAAAAAGCACCAAAAATAGTACCAAATCATCCTTCAATATTCATTTAATTAAATAAATATTTACCACAAAGGTAAATAAATTTATGGAGATCAATTTTAATACTACTTCCATGATCATGCTCTACAAAACAATTCTCCCTATCCTTACTGCTAGAAAGGTTTAGAAAAAAGCAATTATTTTTCCTATGGCTTTAGCACTTCTGTTTAAAACACATGATGATATTCAGAACTATGAACAGAAATGAGGGCAGGCAAGAAACAAAATGGTGGTATGTGCTAATGCATTGACATTTCCTAACCAAAGTATGCCAAAGTGGGGAATGCCATAATTTCCTGGAAAAATCACTATGCCAAATTGAAAGGCAGCATAACACCATGCCTGGAATCAATGGAGTTGACAGTTTAGAAGGCAGTGACTCAAAATTTGAACTGCCCATTTCTTGTAAAGGACGGTATTTATGATATTCAGCCTACATACAGCCTTCAAACAATGAGCATTCTGAGGAAATCTACTCAATGGTAGATGGTTTCAGTTTCTTATAAAATAGAAAAATATAAACAAGTTTAAGTTTTCTGTCACTACAAGAGTATTAATAAATTTACGTGCTAGTCATCAAACTCTAGTGCGGGTTTAGGTGCTTGTCAAAATTCCTAGTATTCCTTTCTAGTGCCTTATTCTGATATTTTGGACATTTTGTAACATCATTAGGAGTCCATCCATGCAAATTGTACCAATGCCAAACACATTTTGGTCTCTGCCATTAGCAGAGAGAAGATGGTTACTCTGCTGGTTGTGTCCAAAAAGGCCTTGCCACCAGCATGTGCTTGTAATTACACCAGGCAGTGAGGAAAAGCTGTGTTACATTCTTGTTCTGGTGCAGCTCTTCACAGAGATTGACTAGTGTTGGGTAGCAGTAAGATCTTAGTGAATGATGTTATGACCATGTAAATCTTACCTCTTCCCACTGGTGTATGTATCTTATCAGTCTCGAAAGGCGCAATAAACGTAACAGGCTGAGGATTTTTGTAAATCTCACAATACGAAGTGCTCTCGCTGTCTTGTAAACCTCTGAATCCATTCCTTTTTCTACAATGAGAAAGATATAATCCACTGGTATTGATGAGATGAAGTCAACCACAAACCAGCTTTTTAAGTAATTCATCTTAATGATTTTAGGGTCCAGTATTATTTCAGAGCTGTCTTCATTTACAGTTCCAGTTCTAAAATTCATTATCAAGTCCAATAGAAAAACAGTGTCTGATGCCACATTGAAAATAATCCATGGTGTTGTTGTTTGCTCTGTGAAGAATGTGATTCCGACTGGTATAATGACAAGGTTTCCAACCATCATTATGAGCATGATTAAGTCCCAGTAAAACCTAGGAAAAAAGGAAGAAAGAGAATGGTTGATGTAATGTGGTAAAATATTACAAAACGGTCTCCATCATGTCACTAACTTCACCACTAGATTTTGTTATTCCTAAATAAATTCTTGTTGCTTTAACTCACTCATAGTTAGTAAAGGCACTGTAACTAACACACCTCATTATGTGCCTTCCTTCTCAATGGCCTATCAGTCCATGGTATATCACACACTGAAAGGTGGGCACGTGTGGCACTGAGCAGATTTATTCAGACTCCTGTCAAAACCATTTTGAGCTTTTATATAGATAAAAACAATGTCTTGTGCCAACCAGAAGTGCTTTATCAATGCAACAGTTTTGCTAAAATTTCTGTCCAAATGGAAAGCCAAATACTTAATAGATATATTAAATGTCAGTATCTCTTTTCAAATGTACTGATACCATTACTGTGCTGGAATAAAATTACAGGAAAAGGAAAAAAGCATCGAAGCAAAAAACAGAATCAATAATTAGATAACATAAAAACCTTCAGCCACTTAGTTGAACTTTCATGCATTTTTACAACCTCACAGCCTATATTCTTTCAGAGCTAGCTAAGAAATATTAGAAAAAATAGCTGCAATTTGCAAAGTAACAGAAAGGGGTACTGCATTTCACCACTTTTGCTCTAGAAGGATCTAAAGGCTCCCCTCTAACACTGTTAGAATACTAACCATGCTTGATACAATGTGGTAGAAGGATGGACTCATAACTCTAATATCTGTGATGAAAATGCTGAGTAAATGCACCCATTACATAGAATATCTATCCTTATGGAAGATTTCCAGGGCACAGCCATATATACCAGATTTTAAGCAAATTATGATAAATCCTAAATGTTAAATAGTCAAAGAAAGCTGTTCTTAAGTAGTAAAAGAACTGAAATGGATAATCAAAAAAGCCTGACCCCAATGCGTTCAGTAATCTTTTACTCTATTCAAGCACATGATCCGGTCAACTAAAACTGATTTGGAGAGGTAGAGAAACCAACCAACAGCAGTTACCCATGGACTTATCATAGTTTCTAGAAGACTAAAGGCAGCAGTGGCTCCACGGCTATCCCTCTGCTCTGTCTCTCTGTCACAATGGGGCCTGGTGCAGGGCACATGGCATGGACACACCACCAGCACAACATCTCAACACTGACTTCCAGGCCACTTCCATCACACCAATACCAGCCTCCCTTATCTTGGTAAAGGTTCACGGCAATCAGCAAAAATAATAGTTAACAGGCCACAAAATATTTCAGAATCACGAGCCTAATTTTTGCTAGACTCGCACAGAGAATATGGATTGCATTCGATTTCAGAGATTGCTTCTTGGATTACCAAATTATCATAAAATCATAGATTGGCTTGGGGTGAAAGGGACATTAAAGATCATCACTTACAACTCCTGTGCCATAGGCAGGGACATCTTCCACTAGACCAGGCTCCTCAGAGCTCCTCCCAGCCTGTGGATCCCCACTTCCAGGGATGGGGCATCTACAGCTTCTCTGGGAAAACTGTGCAAGAGCCTCACCAACTTCACAATAAAAATATTTTTTTAATATCTAATCTAAACCTCTCTCTCTAAACCTCCCTCTGAAGCCATTCTACCTTGTTTTGTCACTGCATGTCCTTGAAAATAGTCTCTATCCATCTTTCTTGTAGACTCCCTTCTTGTACTAAAAGGACACACTTATGTCACACTGAAACACTTCTTTCTTCAGGCTGAAAAATCACAAAGATCTAGCTTTTATAAATTCCCTTTTTTCATGTCTACCTTGGAAGCGAATACTCCTAAGTTTACAGAGTGCTCATCAGAGAATATCAATTATTATCTGCAACTGTAAAACACACTAAAGGAAAAGCAGCATAGGATTGAGAACAGCATGAGAATTCCCAGTTCCAAAATTATTCTAAGAGGCACCTGGTGAGATAGATTTAACTATCACTTGAGAGAAGAGAGAAGTTGGCAATGTACCTCTCACTGGTACTCAGAAACTCTATGAAATAGACTATAAAAATTATTCCCTGTGTATCACAATGTGATTTGTGTCTTACACACTTTCAGTCTTGCAATAAATGTGATCACTAACTGCTAAAAATGTTCAATTTTATTCAGGCTGTATGTATTTTTGTTCACCACATGATAATATTCACCATATTAGGTAAAAATTCCCCAATTTCTCCTGTCTTTTTTAATTCCTGTAATACTTTCCACTGTGCGAGATTCCTTTTCAGCAATCTGGAATTCCTTTTCAGTAATCTGGAATTACCACAAGGAAGCACTGAATTCAATACATCACTGCCACTGTGATCAACAAGTAAAATTACCACAAACATTTTTAAAATGCTATCAACCAAAGTACTTCACAAAAGTGTTCTGGGAGAATAAACATCTTGGAGGAATCCTTTAAACTAGTGGAAAACAAACAGGAAATAATGACGAGAGGTGTCCTTGCATCTGTGGCTCAATCCTAAGCAAAGCATTGCTAACTTCAGGTTGACCTTTACATTTCTGTAGCACAGTTATGCAACAAAAGCTAACCAAAGCCACACAACAACCAGCCACCCAGCCAACACAGGAGATAATACAGGACCAGGTGTTTTTAACCTACGGTAATCCGCGGTTTAAAGGATCATCGCATACTGCGATTATGCAAAACACACTGGTGTTCCTGATGCTGAATGTCAGTAAAAGTGGTAGCATCAGGGCTAAAATAACATTGACTGATAAGGACTTTTGTATTTTAGCCCACAATACAATATAAGCTGATTAGTTAGTAAGAAAAAGCCTTATTATTTTTCATTTAGAAATTACTCGGACATTTCCTTGTAGGAAAATGTTTCCAAATGCTATTCTGTTGGCCATGTTTTATTCCAGGTGAGAAAAATTAGATGCAACTGCCTATATTGCCCTTCCTTGACCTGTGCAGAGAAAGTAACACAATGAGTTCCTCACCTGTGGTTCAAAATATCCTACTATTCATCTAACAAAGAGGAAACTGTAAAGACTCACAAGACAGTGCAACGAGCTGCCATTGACACACTGAGACAGTCCTTTGTTTCAAACTACTATTAGAATTTTTTTTCCTACTTCCCCTATGCCAGAGAGGATAGTTATGAATCTGTGATTTACAATCTCAAGAGTTCCACATTTATGTAAGGTGTTATAAAATGTTGGTGGAGAGCAAGGAATAGGTAGGCTTATGATTGAAAATTGTTAAGAATCAGGAAAAAAAGCAGGAGTTAGGGGGTAATGAGATCTTCCAAAGCTCAAAATGAGAAGCAAGGATTGATCTCAACCCCACAGCACAGAGCTTATTGCTCAGCTGAAGTTAACTCAGTGAATCTACTACCAAATGTCATTAACAGAGGGCGCAAAGGTGATCACTGCACTGCATTGAACTATTCTTAAAACTTCTTAAATGCTTCTAAATGTCTCAGAGGTACAATACCTCTAGGCAAAAAAAATAAAGTCTTCAAGTATTAAAATATAAACCCCAATCCTGAGGCACATTTTTACAAAATTTTAAAAAAATATTCTATAGAGAAATATTGGGGAAAAACCAAAAAAACAACAACTAATTACTACTTTGGAATTCTGAAAATGAATTAATAGGCCTCTTTTGATGATTTTTTTCACCCATAATTTATTTACATATTTTCAAAAATTACAGTAATAGCAGTGTTTTTTCTACTCTGGAATATGGTGCTGAAGTGTTGGTGTTTTCTTCACTGCCAAAGGCTGTCCTGGATAGGATGAACAGCCTGCTCAAAATGAGTGCCTACCCATGAGGTGAGAAAGAGTTACTTAGTATTAATTAATCACTGTTTGTATTAGGGTATTAGGCTTAATAATGTATGATGCTATGAATTCTAACAGGCATTTTATTTTCCACCTTATGTCCCTAACCCAGAGAAAACAGAGTCTTAAGGAAGGAAATTTCGTCTCTGAATTAATTCGCCGCATAATTTGCTGTACATACAAATTCAGATTTGCTTGCCTTATTATTTCCTTTTTTTGCCCATCAACAGCAGAGTCTCAATTTCCCTGAATCAGCATAGCTGGAGATATGATTATCCTTACTGCACACCCGGACTGCACCAGCAGAAGCTGTCAGTGGTCTCACAAACTGCACAGCGGAGTGAGCGGCGTCTCACAGGCATTGAGGGGTGTGATTGGAGGCTGCAGGGCAGTCAGGGCTTTGCTTAAGTTTAAAATTTCTCAGTTTCAGGAAAGAGTGTAAAAATTCTGATCTTTTATTAGAAAAGAATAAGTCATAGCAGTAAAACTTCAGGAAATTCAGTCTGAACAATGAAAATAAATACTCATCTACATTACAAACTGGAAGGCCATTGAAAAAGACACTAATTCAGATTGCTTGTAAAATACCTCTGAAGCAAAACCTGATGCATCAGAGGTTAGGTTTTTTGATGTCAGATGCAACACAATTTCACTATACACATTTAGAGAATCAGACACTGTAAAAATTTCACAAGCTTTCCTAGAACACTTGCTTCTTCTTTAGCTAAGCATTATGATTGACAAGTAGATGCTCAGTGAAATGAACAATGACTTTCCTCTTTGCTTTGTATTATTTTTTCTTAATCTCACCTTCAAACACACCTTTATTTCCTCTGCTTTCATAGATCACTGGTTTACCTAACAGAGAAATCAATGTCCTACATAGAACAATCTTAGCAGAAATAACAGTAATTTTAAATTTTGTTGTACTGTATGGTAGTGAACACTAAACTTGGTATTATTCATATCAGCATTTCATTCTCGTTGGACATGTTATCTTTCTCTGGTTGTGCAACTCTGTTATTCTACTAAGAGGGAATAAAGCTGGATACCTGAAAACATCTGCAAAACACAGATAATTACTGGGATGTGTTGAAGGACAGGAGAACGAAGAAGGGAGTGTTTTCTTCAGAGGACCCAATTCTTTCAATGATTGCACAGGTGTCTGTGCCTGAAGACTTTCA